CAAGCTGCTCCAGCAGAAGGGGTCCCTGCCCGTGGCAGGGGTTGGAGCTGGAGGAGCTTTAAGGTCCCTTCCAACACAAACCAGCCTGGGATTCTGTAAGTGTGCATTTGTTGTAACACACATCTCTGTGGAAAGGGTGCAGGCAAAGTTTCTTGGTAATACAAAGGAGAGGTATCCATGTCTTCTCACCTAAAATAACCCCTAATCTTTTGGTAGTCTGGCAAAACCATGAAACCAGATGCCTGAAATCTGCTTAGGAAGCTTCTGCTTGCCCACCTCATTGGTCCCATGGCTGCAATTATGGAGTTGGAAGAATACAGTTTTCAGTTTCTTCTTATCTCAATCTTTTCCATCAAAAAAGCACGGAATTAGGATGAAGATTTCTTTAAATTATTTTTGGAGAATGAGAGGCAACCTTCTGCTAGTCTTTTCCTTAATACTAAGAACATCTCAGGAAATACACACATCACAGCTGTAGTAGCTAATGAAGCCCAGGGACTTTGATAGATTGGCCACTGCAGTATGTACTGCTGCCAGAAAGAGCTTTGCTGAAAGCTATCTGAGGTAATATTTGATGTGTTAATTTATCATTTTGTGAGCATCTTGGGCACTAAAGGTCAGTTGATTCCCAAAGGTGCTCAAAAAAAGCCCATCTTTTAAAAAGGAACTTTTAAAAAGTATGCTTCCAAGCTTTTTTCTTATTAGAACTTTAATAACTTATACTCTTCCAACAGCTGTATCTGGTGAGGTGCATTCAGGTAGTAATTTTTGCCGAGTTGTCCATAATGCAGGAGATCCTTGCACTTTGAAGCAGTTAATAGTGTCTTTGGGGTTTGGTGTTGGCAGACAAATGCGATGGGCCTATTTACAGCCGTCCTTAGGAGGGTGAAGGAGCTGCTTAGTGCTTTCCTGGGAATGCTGCTTGTGATCCTTTTCGTTGTCTGACTTGTAGGGAAGTGAGAACAGAACTGCTCCTGTGTTGTGGTGGTGTGTGAGCAGTGCTGGATGGGGACATCCATGAGCGCAGCAGGAGGAAGGAGTGATGGCAGTTGAGCAGTTCCGCCTTTCAGTCACCACGAGGTGGCTGCTTCTTGCTTTGCTGGTCCCCATGCCACATGTGTGCACTAAGGCAGCCTGCTCAGGAGGCAGTGCAGGCAAACAGGAGCTATCAAGCTTTATTTTTTTATTTATTGATTTTTTTAAGACCCCAAATGCTGTTTGGAGGGGATTGTTGCTTGGACTTAGTTCCTATGTGGATGTAACGCCCATTGCATGTTTGACTGTTAGACCATAACTGCCAGTAAAATACCCGGGTTGTTGGGGTTTTTTTCTGTGTTGTATTTTGCAAACCCTGAGAAGCTCAAACTATTCTCTTTGTCCTAGGAAAAAAATGAGGTTTTAGATTACTGCTGAGATTAAGACCCAGAGTTTTAAAAAGAGGCTAAAAAAACCCATCCAAAGAAAACCAGCCAAGAAAATGAACAAAAAGTTCTGTGTTATACCTCATTTTCTCTGAAATGAAGAAAAATAGCATGTTACTAGAACCGGGCTAGAGGGCTGTATGATCTGCAGGTGACGTGTGCGTTGTTGGCAGGCCCAAATGATAATGCTGCTTCATCAAGTCCAATGTCTTGCTTCAGCAGTGTTTTTTGTTCCAGGAGAAGCTGGCTGACTCGTGCACAAATCCAGCAGTTCTGTGTAAGGGATGTTGAACCAATTGTTCCTCAAAGCAGAATGTTATTTCTGTGAGCCTGCATAACTACAAAGGTAGTGGCAGCCACACAGTTACAGTATGTGACTTGTTCTAGAAACACGAGCTAATTCTGTGTGTGCGGGTGAATTTACTTAATCCTTTCTTACAGATTTACTGAGTTCTTTAGAGAACTTGATTGGTCTTTCTCATTTCTGAGTTCAGTTTCCTTTTGTTTCAGAAGGAAATTTAAGTGTTGTTTTTCTGATCTTTTTCGCTGTTCTTGTGTTTGACTTTCATAAAAAGCAAGTTTTCGAGTGAGCTCTTCAGTATGAGCTTAAAAGATCTTGATTTTCAGTCCTTGTTTTTTCACTGGCATTCTTCAGCTCCTGGAGATTGTGTTGAAGTGCTTCTTTTCCAGACAACACTTCCAATTCTTCTTTTAAGAGTTCCTTTTTCAGAATCCTGAATCAGGGATCTGTGTTGTATATATTGAGCTGCATTTTCTCCCTCAAGCTTCACAACAAGGAGTTGCTCTGGCTCCCTCTACCGCTGGCAGTGGCAGAGCTGGGTTTGTACCGTGCTCCCGTTTTACTTCCTCTCCCTTTTCCCAAATGCCTGCAGTATCTGGTATTTTCGAGGAACTGATCTCCAGCTGTCTGCAATCTTCTGGTCATACTTGTGACACACAGTGAAGCCTCACTTCTTTCGTCCTCCTCAAGAGAATCGCTGTGAAGAGAGACAAGGAAGTGGGTGATTTTTCCATCTGTGCTGTCTGGGAAGCAGAAGGTTCTGATCAGAAGTCTGATACTCCTCAGTTTGTTATTGCATCTCTTGTTTGCATTGCTTTCCTGCTGCCTTTGTGGAGCCCTGGAGTTCTGATAATCCTCTCATATTCTTCCTCAACTTCCTTATTCAGAACTTGGCCTGGGATCAGGATCTTGGATTATGTTTTCCTCACCTGTCTTTCATAATTAATATCAGGGCTACATCTTTCATAACTCTTTTGAACATAAGTTTAAGGTAGAGTCAGAATGCATCACCCACAGGATTTTTTCATTCACATACAGAAGCCATTATCAGACTGTCACAGAACACAACTGCAGATCTGCTGGTTTCCATGGAAGTCCCTTGGTTTGGAATAGCTGGAACAGCAGACAGTTCTACAAACAGCTTGTTAAATGCTTGTGTGGGTGAATGTGTATGGGGAGCAGGAGACTTGATGGCCTGTTTGCTACTGTTCTCCTGTGAAATTACTACCTATGTTCAAGACGGAACTCCCACAGAGCCACTGAATAAAAGTATGTCTTCGTACCTCTGAGCACTGTTCCTTCAAAACTAAATGTTAGACCATTTCAGATCTTCTGAAGGTCTCAGCAGTGATGTTCCCGCAGCCCTGGGACAGCTGCCCCACAGCAGCAAGTATTGTGCATTTGCCCTGCTGGCAGAAAATACTGGTTCTGTATTTGGAAAATTGGGATGCAAGAGTGAATGAGTGGCAATAATCACAAAATAATGTGGGTTATAGACTTTTAAATCTCCCCTCCTAATCTGTGATTTATAATTCCCTCAGATCCCCTCAAAACCTTCTTGAGCAGAAAGGTAAAGTGTATACAAGCAAGGAAAATACTTGTATCAACTTAGACCTGAATTCATAGTGAAAGTTTGAGTCTAAGCAGCACAATATTTATCAGTCACTGGGTTTGCCATTAGATCTGTGTGTAAGTGCTGGAGGCTGGCACCAGAAGCAGTCGTTCTGACTGGGTATGCCTTAACATGATTCTGGAATTACAGGCACACTATAGCATAGTAATGAGATGCAGTCTGACAAGCATACTGCACTTAAAGAGACATTGTCTTAATGCGTGCATGTGAAAGTGGGAGAGATATTTGAAGTCCTGGCTTTTCACCATCCCATGTGGAGCCTTTTTTCCCCATTTCCCCAAATGAAAATGGTCTCAGTAGCACTTGGAGCAAGCTCTGGCTGCAGTGGGTGTGCAGCCCTGGTTATCCCTGGCTGGGTGGTTGGGGTGGAAAGCGATGCAGGAGTCCCTGGGTGTGTTGCAGGGCTCCTACAGTATGAGCTGGATTCCTCATTAGCCTTGCATTCCCCGAATTGAATTCTCTTTGGGGATGTTTCAGGTGTGTCATTTGAGCTTACAAATAAGGAATGACTGTGGTTGTAAAGATTATGCTGCAGGTGGCTTAAAAATCCCTTAGGAAAGTGGCATCGGCCCTGCGAGTGTCAAAGAAACTGAGGTGAAGAGGAGTCCAAGTATCTCTTTTGTTAGCACATATATAAGTATGGTTGGTGTGAGAAAAGTAATTTGGATTAAACACTGTCTTCCTTGCTTGGAGGTGGATGGGGCTCTTGCTTTTGTATCTGCTCAAAGCAGGTAGGTAAGTAGTATGAGTGGTACTTCTGCCATTTCGGGGACAGGGAGAAACACTTCCTGTACAAAATAGAGTTTTTGAAGATGTCAGTGTTAATGCTCTTGATTAGGAGAATGAAACACCTTTGCAAGTGTTTTATGTAAGTTATCGGGCTAGGGAAAACAAGTTCTGAGGTTTGGTGGTGAAGTTGCATGTGGAGACTTGACCACTGTGATGGCTTCACTGGTGATCTATAGAGGCAGCCAAGGGGCCCATGGTGCAAGAGCAGTACTTTTCATTACACTGCCTCTACTAACAGGCATGATTGGTATCCCATCTTCTCATCCTCCTGATGCTTTTGGTTCCACCTCAGTGCAAATCTGTAAGAATACACATCATTTTTAATCACTTTTTACTTTTAGTGCGTGGACCAGAGAAATGATTCTGTGGGAAACTGGCAGGAGAAACTCCAGACTCTTTGAACGCTTTTTATAAGGAATGAGTGACTGACTGAAAGCTTAGTTCCTGCAGATACCTGTTGCTGTCCCTGCTGGGCATTGCAGGGAGGAACAGAGTTGGCAGGTGATAAATTCAATCAATGTGGAGCAAAATCTTGTCTACAGTGGAAAATATTGCATGTTGTTAATACCTCTTCTAATGTTTGTCACTGTGAATCTGTTAAATGCTCACTGAAATTTGAACATCCTTTTAAGGTGAAGGTACGTTAGATCTACAACCAGATGAAACCAATTCTCCTTGGTTTAAAACTGCAGAGCCAGCTTCAGAGTGTCTTTCACTAATACACAGTCCTCCACAGCAGGGAAAAATCTCTGTATGACTACTTGCCATGTCACGTTGTTGCTGACATGTTTCCCCTATCACTTGCATAAATGAGCATGAGAAACAGGCACAGGAAATGGCTGGTTAATTCTTCTACATCAGAGGATGATGATAAGTGCCTGCTACTGTGAAGAACCCTCAGTTCACCCTTTTTAAGGGAGATTTGACTCCTTCGCCTGCTTGTGTTGTTACTTTTAAACATAAAGGATCAGTTTTCTGTGTAATGCTGGATGGGGAGGTTTGGAATTAGTTCAGAAAATTATTTTTTACTTTGAAGGCCCTTTCTCTCCTGTGTGATCATGCTGGCATTTCTGTATCAAAAGGGTTGTACTGTCAGCAATTACTGTGAGCCTTGTCTCCATCCAGGCTTTGAATCCAGTGAACTATTGAATAGGCAAATAAAACCGGCTCGTTCAGGAAGATGGAATGAAGTATCTGACTGAATTTCTAATTTCATTAGAGGGAAGATTGAGACAGGGTGTAAACATCAAGAGGAGATGAATCGCTTTATGCTCAACCCCTAACATGACTGAATTTGCAGGGAGATCAGTGGAGAGCAACCCCCAGCCTTGCTGCAAGGCCCTTCACCTGCAATGCAGTGCTGTGCAGCTGCAGCTAGGTGGTGGAGGCAAATCCCTTTTCTCTCTCACTCTTGCACAAAGCTTTGCTGCGTTTGAGAAGAACCAGCCCCTCTGCTTGTCCTTGATGTCCCCCTCTTCCTGACCAGTGTGGCAGCTGGGTTTTAATGGCTCTTTCCAAAACTGTTGGGCTGTCTTCAGGAATATCTTTATCAATGGGAGGCCGTGCTTCATGCAGGTAGGTTACCCTCTTCAGTTTTTTCCTCATCTTACGAATTTGCACTTCTTCAGGCATTCTTGAGAGAATAAGGACTTTTGGGAGACTCTAGATATGGATATGGTTAGATATGAATAACACACTCCATAAAAGATCTAGCATTTTGACTTTCCATGTTGTTTTCCTTAAGTAAAATACTACAGTTGTAGAGAGACCCTGCAAATACAGTGAATTCTGATGATGAAATAGTACATTGAGAGAGCGAAAGTAAAAGGTGATCAGGATGTTTGTAAGTAGAGAACAGAGATGGCTATGCAAAGAAGTAGTCCAGAACGCTTGATTTTTTTCTTTTTAATGTGTAACCATTTTTATAGGCTCTTCATATATATTATGTGCATTTTGCAGTGTTGCTGGCAGCTGTTTCAGTTGTCATCTTAGAATACAGAGTAAGGATTTTTCTGCTGTCTTTAGCAGCCTTTTGTGCCTTTTCAAATACTGTGTGGATGAGGAAGCAGATGGATGAGGGCTGTGGTTTTGTGTGTCTGTTTTTCTTTGGTATTAACACATTCTGCACTGATGAAATCTCTCTCTGCAGCTGACATGGTCATTTTGGGGGAAGAAGGTGGTGGGATGGTAGTAACATCTAATGACTGTTCACAGGGAGGGAGAGGATTGAGATGTGTTTTGGTGGTGATACCGTAAAGGAAATAGTACAGTAAAAATGTATGTGACCTGAATGTAGCTCACTATTACATAGTTGGTATAATAGATGATAATATAGAAGCAAAATGCTTTTGGATCCCCAGGACAGCCTCAGATGCAGACTACAGGGTGTGCCAGGTACGAGGCTGTCGGCAGCGTGATTTGTCAGCCCTTTCTGAGAGAATGGGGTTTAGTGCTTCCAGTAACTTCTTCCTTGATGCGTGAAATTACTATTATTGCAAAGCACTCAGGCTGTGGTTTTTCAGATGAATTTTCTTTCGAATCCACTCAAATCCCTCCATCTTCCTCAGTTACAAAAGTGAAGATCTTTAAATGGTGTTTGGAGAAATGCTCTACTGCTTATGCTATGGGTGTGGCTACTGGCCTTAAATCCTCCTTTCTATCCAATTGTGCATCCTGGCTTTACCCTGTCAACAGGATCCTGTTATATAGGGAGCATCCAGTCTCCCCTTCAACCATTCTGTCCATGGTCCTTTCTTGCCTTTGCTGCCCGCTCTTCATTTGTGGACAGTTGACTTTATTTGTAGCTTAGTGGTTCCCAAAGGAATGCAGCACTTGTAGCATTTTGACCTCCAAGAGTTTTCCCCTCCCCAGTTTCCTTTTACCTACCCCTGACTTGTAATTCTGTGGCTCATGGGGGCAGAAAGTCTAAATACTGAATGTCTGAGGGCTGGATCAAGCTACAGGTTGTTAATACATGTCTTGTTAGCCTGGGAGCAGTGGAATGGACTGTCTGGCAGGCTTGTTTTATTGTTTAGGATCACTAATCTGAGTTGCTTATCTCTGTCTGAATTAAGATATCAGCAGGACTTGCAACGGACTGAAAATAAATGGTGAGTGGTTTGATTGTGCCCAGGATGACCCTTGTAGCTCCTCTTAGTTCAATGAGCTTCAGTTCCAGATTGTAAATGGCTACAGATTCAGTCATGATCAAATTGGAATGCTCGTTTCTTCCTTTTTATGCTCCATAGATATTTAAGATGGCTATAGACTGAATGTGTAGTAACGTATTTAGTGTATGAAGTCTCAGCAGAGTTCATGTGTAGTAGGTAAATGCTGAATCTTTATTCTGCTGTATAACTACTCAAAATTGAAATACTAGATTTGTCCTGTGGCATAAGATTAGTGGGACTGCCCTGGTATGATATGCAGCGCTCCAGCTCAGTTACAAGTTACAAGAACTGATCCAAAAGCCCACATGCATTAGCACATCCACATCCATTGCTGTAAAGAAATGTGTTGCCCACCTCTTTGGACAACTCCCGCTTTATTTAATATCTCATACTTCTAGGAAGAAAAGCTCAGTGTATCCTGCAGTGCTTTGCCATTCAACCTTGCCAATGCAAATGGGCTGTAGGCATTGCTTTCATGTCCTTGCTTCAGACAAAAGGGCAGTGAAGATTAAACTTTGTAGACATTTAACCATTCCCTGTAATGCTGAACCCAGGACATGAAGTAAATAACTTACCCAGTTCAGCATTACCATTTCAGGAGCTTTTTGGCTGTAAGCGGTGTGCTACCACACAGGAGTTGGGGTACAGGGGATGTGGGGATGCCTTAGCTTGGGGAACTTGGCCACAGCTCAAATGCTTGAGAGCAGTGAGGTGGCCTTTGCCAGCGTGATCACGAGCAGGAACTTGGAGTAACACGTTTGGTGAAAGTTAAACACAGAAAATTAACGTTTTTATTTATAAATGTGGGAGTGGAAAGAAAATACCACCTTGGTGCCTGATCTCAATCCATCTGAAGTCACAAGCTCTTGGAAGGGTTGACAGAACATCTGCCCTGTGGATTCCCACTCGCCACAGCTCAGAACTGTCACCAATTTTAGACGTTCAGTGAAGAGGCAGACTAGGGATGCAGCCCACCACATTGAGAGCAGGAGAAAGCCAGCCCAGTATTGTGGGGTTTAGGGTTCTGAAGTGTTAGAGGCAGAAGGATCATTAAATGTTCATTTGATCTCAAAGGTGAAAGGAACAACAAGACCAGTTTCAAAAACACCAGTTTGATTTCTTTTTCCCAAAGGAGTCAAAATTAATGTTAGTTTTTAAGATAACATTAACAGGCATTTAAATCTTCAGCTCTTACATGAGGTGACATCTTAAAATATAAATCTACTTTAGAGAAATCCTCACTGAATGAAAAGCTGAGAAGGGGTTCAGTAATGTGTTGGTGGGATTACCAAGCTTTTTAACTTGCTCTCTTGTCCAGTCTTCTTTGTTCCACTAAAAATGAGTCTAGGGCATTAAGCCGTATTTCTCACTATTATCTGAAAAATTGCTTATGTCTACTTTTGTACTAGAATAGGAGTAAAAGTGTTTAGATGTGACAATAGATTTCTGGAGGCTGATAATTGCATCTCCTCCATTATCATCAATCCCTGATGTGAAATGAAAGCTACTTAACTGAAGAGTAACGTGTGTGAGACATGCAGTGTGTTCTCTTTCAGACCCGACACTCAGCATCGGGGCCCTGCTGCTCATTCAGAGAATGATATTCCAGAGCAAGAGGAAGAAATCCTGGGATCAGATGATGATGAACAAGAGGATCCAAATGATTACTGTAAAGGTGAGGACTTGCTTGTTTCAGCACAGGATTTTCAGTGTAACCAAGAATTTCCTTCATTTTTCCATCTACTGTAGAGAATGAAAATAGACTCCCTCTTACTTTAACTGTTTTTTGAAACTGTATGACAATAATAATGTTTTTCAAGCTAATGTGAAAAGGAGAAACTGTTTTCCAGGGTTTCCTCTGCTATCAGTCAAGATTTGAGTTGGAGCTGGTTTTAATGCAGGTATTTAAAGCTGTTAGCTTTATCTCTGTGCCAGAGGACTTTCAGAATCGGTAAAAGCAAGTAGGCATTCAGTTCCTTTTTGATTTTCATCAGAAAAAGGACACTTAAATCCTTAAAATCAGTTTCAAATTCTTCATTATTTTCTTTTGAAGATTATCTTTGTACCATTCTTCAGATAACTTCGTGTCTGCGAATACAGGCTTCCACTCTTTCTCAGAGCAGAAACTAAATACAGAACAAATGGAAACACCACAGTATATAATTGTATATCAAAAGGGTCCAGCTGGTTTTAACATAGCAAATACTTTAAAAAAATGACATAGCACTGATCATACAAATTCGACTCATCAATTACTAGAAGCTTGAATATGTGCCCACACCTCCAAGTGCTTTGTAAGACTACTTCTGTGATACTTTATTGTATACATAAAGGCAGGGAGAGGCATGTAACAAATGCCATATATGTGTATAAAAAATGTGAAGTAAAATAGCACAAGGAACTCTAATTGCAGTGTTTCTTCTGCTTCAGTGCTTTACTTCAAAGCATTTACATTACTTCTGGCATGTCACCCAAGCATTTGTGGGATTTTGTTAGTTGTAAAGCAGGTGGGAAGAAGAAAAAGCCATTGTGTGACTGCAGTCAGTACAGCTGTCACTGTTGTAACTGAAATCTTCAAGTGAAGAAAAAGGACTTCTGCTACTGGAGCTAACAAAGTAATGGATAGTAATTCTGCATTTTGTGTATGAACCAGTCAATCAAGAGAGACAGATCTTCCTGACAAAGCACATGTTCCATGGGTGGTACTTGCTCACCACAATTAATAAAAAGTGCCTGGAATCGAGGGTGCAATTCCAGGTTCTGGCAAAAATTTATACCTTAACAGTCACAGTTTATTCTCTGTATTCTTTTTCCTGCAAATTCTGTTGTCTTTGTGTCTTTGCTTCTGTCATGGAATCCTCCTGCATAGTCAGCAGCTTGAGAGATACTGGGGGTACAGGGAGGAGACTTTTGTGTTTGTAGTCATGTTACATGGCAAGGTGCCTTTCAATCAGGAAAGCAGTTGGAGGGGGAACTCCACTGGGGTCTTGAGTTCAGTTCTCTTTCATGTTATGAGGACAGAGCAATGCTGGTATTCAACTGTAAGATTCTGCTACTGAATATGAGAAGCAGTGCTTTCCAAAGGTGCTCAGTCCAGTAGACTTCAGATGCTTTCACTGAAGAAATACTCTTTTGTGGTGCTACAGTGAACGGCCTACATTAAAAAAGGAGAAAAACTCAGTTATTCTACTTCAATTATATTAAAGCTTTTCAGTCAACCAGAGGGCTGTTGGCAGCTCTTCTTCTGGCATGCTGTATATTTATTCCAGTGAAATCCAGTTAAAGAAACATTTGCATTTGTTTATATGATTAAAAATGTAAAACGCATCAAGTCTGCCTCAAGTGGTGATGCTTGTTCCACAGACCTGCTCTTCAGTGCTTGTGAGATCGCTTCATAGAACTTTCCCACTGTTCTTCCTAGGTGGTTATCACCTGGTGAAAATAGGAGATCTCTTTAATGGACGATACCATGTGATTCGGAAGCTTGGATGGGGCCACTTCTCCACTGTGTGGCTAGCTTGGGACATCCAGTAAGTCTTTCTATTCTAGCTGGTGTTTCTGGTGGGAATGCACATTCTAACACAAGAGTTTCTTTCTGTATTGTGCATACAAGTGTGCAAGAGGGTATTAACAGAACAAACCATGTGTGTGGAAAGAGGGCTTGTGTGTTTGGCAGTCTCTGAGCTATTATTTTATGAGAAATTACTATTAAGAGAGACTCAGTCTTCATGAGTGCTTAAAACTTATTTTTCATGATGCCTTAAATAAGTAGCTCTCTTGTATGCAAAAGAATTAGTATAATCCTGGAAAATAAGTTATTTGAGCATTAACAGTCTCCAATTTACTTAACTCTCTGTGTGTAGAGGGAGGAGATTTGTGGCAATGAAGGTGGTGAAGAGTGCAGAGCACTACACAGAAACAGCACTGGATGAAATCAAGTTGCTAAAGTCGGTGAGTGCCCAAGAGTGGGGTTCTGATGTTTTATTATTATTTTTTAATTCATTTGGGGGAGTTCCCATTTATCATGTTTGATTCTGGATCATCTGGCTGCAGAGAAGTTGGAGAGCAACCTAACAGTAATGCAGTTGATCTGACTTCAAAATATGTTCTTGCCTGGTAATTACCTCAAGAAACACAAACCTCTTATTTTCTCTACAGGTCCGCAACAGTGATCCCAATGATCCAAGTAAAGAGAGAGTTGTTCAGTTATTAGATGACTTCAAGATTTCAGGAGTTAATGGGTCTCGTATCCTTTTGAGAAATAAAGGCAAATAATTGTATAAAGATGGGAGTTAGCTAGGTAGCTGTCACATCAGGGCTGCTGCTCAATGCCCAGGCAACCCTTTCACTGCCCAAGGAAACCTGCTGTTGAATTACCTGCCTCAGAACTGCCTGCTCAGCTCGAGAAGGATCATTCAGTCTGACATAATATGTGCAAGTGGTGGAGACTGCACTGCTTAGTTATGCTTTCGACAGGAGAGATCACATTAACATGAGGGTGGCTGCATCTGCTTTCTGATTGAGGACTGAATGGCTCAGTATCCAAGGTACCTCTGTTGGAAGAGCCATTCTGTCACAACACCTCAGTTTCACAAGCAGTCTGGTAATAACCCCTTATTGAAATAAAACACTACAAAATGCTAAGATCAGTAAGTAAAAACAGCAAACACATGCATGCTGTAACTTGATAGTAAGGTGGGTTTCTAGTTATGAAAGCATCTTACCTTGGACTCCATGAAAATCACTAGGAGGTTTAAAGTGTATTGCTTTGAAAACCCCCTCTAGTTCTGTGAACAGCCTTCTCATGGGCAGTGATTTGTGGCAAGTCTCAGTAATGAACCCTTAAAATTAGAAAGTTGGACTTCTGTGCTTGTTGCCCTTGAATTTGATATCAGTGAGCTGTAGGCTCTAAACCCTCTAGCACTTCTAGAAAACAGTAGCTCCATAATGTATCTCATCTGTTCACTTTTTTCTGGTATTTAGCATTAAGTAAATGTTGAGTTCATCTTGAATTTATCACTCTTGTGAAACACTTTCTGCCAGTGTAGAAGAAAAGCAACCTGATAAAGTGGAAGTTTAGCTTCTAAAGCAAAGGCACAATAAGATGCCACTGGAGTGACTGTGGCTGTTCATAACTTATAGACAAAAGGCAAATAATGTAAATATTGTTGAAGTTGAGGCTTGTCAAAAGTTTATTTTGCTGGTAAAGAGGCACGGGAGGGTGGAGAATGTTCCGAAGAAACTTACGAAATGCAAATTTTACTATCTTTTCAGGTAGTGCTGGTGCAGAATGATCTGGCATCAAGTTTTGCCTGGGGCAGGAGCCTAGGTTATTCCAAAATGTACACTCTCGGGTAGAAGCTGTCTCAATGCTAGCAGGAGGTACTAATGCACACTTGCTTGTGTAGCTGGCTTTTGCTCAAAGCAGGAGACTGCTGCTGCTGTGTTAGGACCATTGTCCTAGCCATCTCCATCCTTTTGTGTTTTATGTAACAACACTGATGTGTAGGACAGGGTGGTACTGTTAAGGAAGGCAGCGTGTGTCATAAGGATGAGCGTTCTTTAATACAAAGCATATAACTGGTATGGATTTCCTTTGGTCCTCAGTCCTGGGACTTCAGGGCTCCTTGGTTCAGGATTTCCATCTTTTTCCTTGACCGAGCTCCAGATATCTGTATGGTGTTTGAAGTTCTAGGGCATCATCTTCTGAAATGGATCATCAAGTCAAATTATCAGGGGCTCCCACTCCCTTGTGTCAAAAAGATCATCAAACAGGTCAGTTCCTTTTCAGTTCTGACTGCACTGTTCCACTCAAGCCAGTGAGAACTCTTTTCACTAATCCTCAGATCGAAGAAAACAAAAATCACTGGTATCTTTTTCATGCAAAACAAGTCATTCTTGGGTTAATATTTTCTTTCTCTACTGCAAAAACCTGTTATTTTCTGACACTTGAACCATGGTGGGAGACCAGCTTTGCTTTTAACCTTTTGCTACCCTCATTCCTTGTAAGTGCAAATATTTTTCTTTTAAACTCTGTCTCATTAAATATGGTGCTTAATGATGGAAAGAGCAAGAGAAACCTGTTCTCCATACTGGATGGTTGCCTAAGAAGTACCACACACCTACATGTGAAGTGAAAGGGAGGAGGAAAACATGATTTTATTGTAGGGTGTTAAGATTAGATTTTCAACTATGATAAGTTATGAGAGTAAAGAGACAGTATTTTAAGTTCATAGCTAAAATCTGTATGTGAATCTGTATTTCCTGGAACTGAGTAGTAACCACTGATCACATTAGCTCTAATCTGGAGTATCCTCACAGAAGCCCTTCAGTGGTCATCTTAGGCTATCTTGAGTATTATTTCACCCTCCGTTTGCTTGTCCTTTGCTTTTTCTAAGGATCGGTTTCCCTCTCTGCAGGTTCTTCAGGGTCTGGATTACTTGCACACAAAGTGTCGAATCATTCACACTGACATTAAACCTGAGAACATTCTCCTGTGTGTGAACGACCAGTACATCCGCAGGCTGGCTGCAGAAGCAACAGAGTGGCAAAGATCTGGGGCTCCCCCACCATCCGGCTCTGCAGGTGAGTTTTCCTGCAAAGTGGTGCTATTTCCCACTCCCACCCCACCAAAATTGTCACTATTCACACTAGGGAAACTTCCTGAGTATGGTGTAAGAAAGATGATTTACCTGCTGGTTTTGCAGAAGTCTGGAAAACTTGTAACAGAAATGGCTTCCTTAACATACAGTATCCCTAAAGATCTGAGAGCAGCCTTTCTCTCATTCCCAGTTCCTTCTGTTTATCTCCAGGATATCCATTGTACCTGTGACTAGTTGTGAGGAACAACTGCAGTGTGTTGGAAGGCTGTTAGTCGTAATCTTACAACCCCAACATTTAGCTGAGCCCATCATAGCATACCTTTAGGGAAGTTCCCTCAACTTTGGTATTTTAATGCTTTGGTTTGCATTTTGTTTTTAGTAAGATGCGTAATACATGCAGTAAATGAAGCTGCATGACAGGAAGTTTAAGTCTTTGATATCAGGCAAGCAATTCTGTTCTCTGGAATTCTAATTATGCATTTAGTGATATTCTTTTTTTTTTTAATTCTTGTACTTCTGTAGAAAAATGAGCCTTCAAAATAATGTTTGCTGATATATTTTTAATGTTACCAAACCCCATAGCAGAAAGCTTACCTTTAAGATAAGAACACAGTTGCAGTTTTTTTATTACAAACATACTAATTTACTGCTCTTCCTTTCTCTTTCAGTGAGCACTGCACCACAGCCAAAACCAGTAAGTGTAATAGCTTTCATGTGTAAATATTCATCTGCTTAGAGTATCTACTGCATCCTTTTATAATGCAGTCAACATTAAGGGAAAGCAACCCTGTAAGAAGGTAAAGTGATCTGTGTTTGTCACAGACATAGACGGCAGGTTCAGTGCTGTCTTGGAGATGTAAGCAGTGTTAGCTCATACAGCACCAGAATAAGTAGTCTTTTTGGTGAGCTTAAGGTATGTTGTGAAGATGCCTTTATTCTGCTTAGTTGCAATTCCTCATCTGGAGAATACCAGAGGTTTCTCAGGTTAGGACAGAAATGCACGTAAGAGCCATAGACAACTGTTCCAAAAACCTTAATGTGTGCTTTTTATTTGGAAGAACTGTCTCCAGACTTTTCATCCCAGACTGTTTCCGCAGCTCTAAAACAAATTAAACTTGACACATTTTTAGATTTGCTGAACTACAAAATGTTCAGTCCAGTTTCTCTGCTTGCTTCCACACAGGCTGACAAAATGTCAAAGAATAAGAAAAAGAAGTTGAAAAAGAAGCAGAAACGACAGGCTGAGTTGTTAGAGAAGAGAATGCAAGAGATAGAAGAAATGGAGAAGGAAGCAAGCCCTGGGCAGACGCAGCCTGAAGAAGAGGAAGAAGCTCAGAGCCCTCTGGAAATGCTCATAAAAGTTAGCCCACCAGAAGAAAATGCCAGCAAAAAGACAGGTATGGACCTAAAGTATTGCTAAGGTAGCACAGTGTTGTCCTTTCACTTGTGCTGGCATGAGTAAGCACCTTTAATAGAGGTGGCTGTTACTTAGCCCATCTGAAGAGGCTAGGGTATTGCCTATTACAAACTGAATTGAGAGCCTCCTACTTCTGAGGCCTCCTTTGAACAGCTTCAGCTATTTTAGACTATGATCTTCTTTTCCACTCTTGCAGCTGAAGTTGTACAGGAGCAATCTGTTCTAATGGAAAGCAGTGTGGAAAAATGCTTAACAGAAATAAACTGCAATGGAGTAGTACAAATGGCGGATTTCCCAGAATCTGGCAATCAAGGATCTGTGCGAGTTGAGGATGACCTTCATAACGCCAATGACTGTGGTGATCATGCTCTTACCCAGAAGAAGGAGAACTTGCATAGTTGTGATTACAGTCAGCGTAACGGTGACTTGGAGAATAGGCCTCAAGAAGCAATGTCGGACTCCTTTGTGCCCTTAGCTTCAGAAGATTCCATGGTGTGTCAGCCCACGTCCAGCGAAGAGCAATCATTCAGTGAGCAGGAGATTAATCATTTGCAAGAAAGCATCCGAACAGAAATACCTTCAGAGGATGAGAATGAGAATAATAACCCATCAGACAGCAAAGGTATAAGAGGAACCCTGTAAGGGCTCCTTTCTCCTTGGTGTGGGAGAGTTGTGTTCCAGCGTTTCAGGGTATTAATAGGAAACTCCATTTTGGAGGCTAAATGGTTTGTGTTGGAAGGGACCGTAAAGCACATCCAGTTCCAACCCCTGTCGCTGGCAGGGACCCCTTCCACTGGAGCAGCTTGCTCCAAGCTCCTGTGTCCAGCCTGGCCTTGAGCACTGCTAGGGATGGGGCAGCCACAGCTTCTCTGGGCACCCTGTGCCAGCGCCTCAGCACCCTCACAGGGAGGAGCTTCTGCCTTAGATCTAATCTAGATTTGAAGTGGTCAGAACCATCTGTTTGAGTGGTTTCCTGCCAGGAGTAATTAACATGACAGTCCTGCTCCGAGATCCTCACTGTTTGTAGCTTCCAGTTGCAGCTGTACCTTAGTTTTGACTATTGAATGCGTAGGTATTCCCACTTTAGATACCTATACATTTGTTTTTCAGTATAGGAACGTTTCCTCCTTTGTACCTGGTGTTGCTTATGTGATTTTCATTGTTAGAAATATAAGTCTGCAAATAGTCACTGGCTGTTAAATTATGGGATAAACACTGTTCAGTGTGTTCTGATAGTTCTGAACATGGAGCATAGGTAACTCCTCAGTTACTTAATGTAAGTAAATGCTCTCCCAGAACTAGAAACGCAGCCTGACTGAAACAAAGCTTATACAGCATAGGGAAAAAACCCTTTTTAATGCTTTTGTTTAAACATGATTTGTTTCTGTGGGCAAAAACAGTAAGTCTTGTGGGTTTAGGAGAGCATAAGACACACAGTGGTGAACAGCACTTTAAATCCATTCCGGGGTGTCTGATAAAAAAATGAGCCAATTGCTAAACCTGTCGTTCTGTACTTTGAGTCAAGATAAGCCACAGTATATCTGCTTGGAGAAGAAAGGAGAAATTAACATCTACAGTTCTTCCTGTAGCCTTTTTCGTGGCAGATTACCGCTGGAAAGTTGCGGGGATGAAAAGTAGGAAGTGAAATTTAAACTTGAACTGCATTTGGTTGGATGCTCCTGCTAGATAAGCTTAGGTGTCTTTTGCTTTTCACAGCTCTCCAAAGTTTTAGAGCTTCAGCTGGATGTAATTTACTGATTTAATATTTTTGCTTTCTGTTGTGTCACTGTGGTTTTTCCCAATCTGTACTTTAACTCTTGTAACTGTGTACTGCAGCAGGGAGTGATGGGTATGTCAGAAGGATGCTCTAATATGTGGACTCTCCTCCTTCAGAGATTTAGGAAGACTTAAGGGTTGAGAGGGTTATTTTGTTTCTGGCAATGGCCTTATTTAAATCTTCTGGTCTAGAAACTGCCTTTTCAAGGCTGTGCAAAGAGCCTTGGAAACAGTCCCCCTCGCATACACTTACTTGTCCTTCTGCTTTCTAACACCACTCAGGTCCTGATAGTGGAAGCTGCTCACAGTGCAGCGTGATTTTTATACCCAGGCTTTGGAGAGGGAAAAGTTCTAATCTGTGAGACCTTTCTTGTGTAGGGGGAGTGCAGTAGGATTTGGGTGACAGATGGTGACACTGTCCCTGTAGCTTTAATCAGCTGTTGTACACATTGCCTCTAGGAAAATCAACTGCTGGGAATTTCCTTCTTAATCCTCTTGAGCCCAAGAATGCAGATAAGCTCAAAGTGAAGATAGCTGACCTAGGAAATGCCTGCTGGGTGGTAAGTGTGCAGTCTTTTCACATTGTTTGTTTAAACCTGGTAATTCATTCACAGGATGCCAAGATGGGAAAGAATTTGCAAAATAGAATTTGCAAAAGAATTTGCAAAATAGAACTTGCAATAGACCGTTTGAATCCACTTTGGGGGGAAAAAGAGAGGTGAGCAGGGATGTAATGAAAGAAAAGATCCTTTAACAGAGGATTTCCGCCTGTGTGCCACAGTGGTCATTAGATGACTTGTGATACACCTGTGATCAATGACACACATAGTATGTAGAAATCTGCATATATGAAACTTCTGAAGGAGTCTGTTGTGCTCTTGGAGAAAGAGAAAGGTGCAAACAATTCCTCTGACGTGCTGGTGCTATAGTTCATTAGCTTGTCAAACCTCTTCAGTGGATGAAAGAGACTCATAGTTTTATTCTCTGCTTGTTCTGTTCTGCTTTTAGATGTTTGACATTTCATGTAGAAGAAATGTCTGTTTTTTCTTGGCTGCTTAAATGGCAGAATACTTCAGATCGTATGGGAGAGATGAGTCCTAAGCTCAGAACTGCATGTCAGGCTTGCAGTGTCTGGCAGGGTGGTCTCTTACATTGGTGTTGCTTTGCTTTAAGGTAGATGAGTCGTGCTCAGATAGGAGAAGGGTGCAGCTTCTCAGTCTTCCCTTACGCTATTTTTGTGGTTTGCTGGACTCATGGGTGTCTCATGTAGAGCATTTGAACAGTATTTGTAGGAAGATAAATACTGAATGAGGATGTATATTGCAGATAAAATATCCTGGGAATGAGCTTTGAGCTCCTCTGGCCTTCCAGGTTGTTGATTCTCCTCTTGTAAAGTCTCACAACTGTTCAGTAAAACATTTCTTCTGTTTAGCACAAGCACTTCACTGAAGACATCCAGACAAGACAGTACCGATCCTTGGAGGTGTTGATAGGATCAGGGTATAACACCCCTGCTGACATCTGGAGCACAGCATGTATGGTGAGTGCTGTCACTAGGGGATTTCTAACTGCTTCCATGGAGCACACGGTGCAGCTCTTGTGTGCTCTGGGTTACTTGTGTGCTCTGAGTTACTAACCAAGCCTGGCAAAAAACCCTCCCAGGTTTTAAGACAACTTCCAGACTTGCTGAATAGCATGATTCCATACCAGAGTGGTTTCTTTGTTTCCTTTGCCATATGTGGCTTTCCTTTTGAAAGTTAGTTTTGTTCTACAGCAGATTTCAAAGATGATTGGAAGAACATGGCAGCTATGCAATTCTGAAGACAAGAGCCTTTCTGCTGCATCCAGCACTGTTACACAGATGTCTTCAGTACAATTTCATATTTTAATTATCTTCTGCATTTTTCATTGGCATGAATGGCAAAAAAAAATCATATTTTAATTGTCCTCTGCATGTTTGGAATAATTATATAATCTGAGTGATGCTGAGATGAGGTTGAAGCTGTTCCTGCAGTAGCTGGCAAATGTAGACTATAGTAATTAAAAGACCAAATCAGTCTAGCCAGTTCCTGTGTGTTCCTCTGGTGTCTTCATTCTGTCTGTTTTCTGCAAATTCAAGACTTGCTTTTTATATTTTAAGCTTGGAAAATAGCGAGTGAAATAATTTTCACTGCCTTGGATGAATGTAGCAGGAAGAGTATCTGATAGGATCGTGTTGACTCTGCAGAACACGTGGCCAGAATCACACAGTGGTTACTCCAAGCTCCTGATTGAATAGTTTGACAACAGCAGTCTGTAAAGAAAACTTAAGAATACAGATCAGAGGTTCTGTTTTGATTAAAAGTGAATATGTAAAGGTAAAGATGTCCTGGAATTTAGGAATGGTTAGCTGAAATGAATGCAAATGTTTTTCTCATTTAAAACGTGGTTTAGTATCTAGAGAAAAATGTTCAGAGACTGACTGTTTGAAAAAGGTCTTTTTCTATCTGAAATCTGGGGAGAGAGGAGAAACTTTGTAAAAAGGAAAAACAGTCTGGAGTTTGGACATTTGTCAAAATGCTGTTGAGGCAGACAGGCTGAGCTTGTGAAATGCCTTTGTACCATTCTACACAGGATTACTTGATGCAGAGTTCATCCAAGCTATGCCTAGGATGGTTTTTACTGCAGTTGTTCAAAGTGTTGCAGAGTAATTGCACATCTTGAGATGATAATGCTGTACCAGAGTTCTGCAGGTTTTCCCACCACTTTGCTTCTTGCCCACAGAGAGATACAGAATCACCCTGCAGCACATCTCACTGTGTGAGGTGTATTAAAGTGATTTAACATGCTCCTTTCTGTGTGTTTAGGCCTTCGAATTAGCAACAGGGGACTATCTGTTCGAGCCTCATTCTGGGGAGGATTACTCACGGGATGAAGGTATGGTTGTCAAAGTCTTTCCTTTTTCAAATGAGACATGAAATAAAATGGTTGCCTCTTCAGAATGAGCCTTCTCTTGTGAGTTATCAATGCAAAGGCTCCTTGTGAAAAGATCCTTTACCCAGATCAGCACCAGCTGTGCTCTGTGGTAACACACTGTGCGGTAAAGTCCATGTTGTTGTTCTGGTGTTTCCAGTTCCTCCTACTGCTTATTCTCTTACCATGCTTTGCAAAATGATCATTTTCTCAAATTCTCCTTTCCGTTTTATTCCACTTCCCCCTTGACTTTGTCATTGCTTAGCATAATCTGATTTCAAAGTGGATCTCAAAGTGATTTTTAAGGGAGATGATGTCTTTGTCGTTGTATCACAGAGAAGGAAACTGGGGCATAGAGATGTCTTGTGTGAATTTGTCTCATTGTCTTTTCTCTTGAAAACCTGCAGATCACATTGCTTTGATCATAGAACTTCTGGGGAAGATACCTCGCAAGCTCATTTTGGCAGGAAAATATTCCAAGGAGTTTTTCACCAAAAAAGGTAAAAGGAAACAAAGCAAATGTCACTTATCCCTCATCCTCTGCGCCAGATACATGAGTGCCTTGCTGGAAATCCCAGTTTACAACAGGTGCTTTCAAAGATGCTTCTTCAAGCCTTTCCTTTCTTTTATGAAAGACTTCATCAGTAGAACTACAGCTAAATATAAGGCATTCTTGTCTGACTGCTCAAAGTATCCTGCATCCTAGTACTTGACATCTTGATGTTGATCAAATGCAGCAGGTAGAAAAACAGTACTGTGGATACTTCTTCAGGCTTGATTTGGCTTTATTTAGCTGATCTTTGTCAATTGGAGGTGTTGTCTCACCTTTGAAGTCTTCTGTAGACAACTTTGTTCCATTTCCAGTGTGCCAGACACCTAAACAGTGCCTTCCATCCTGTGCCATGTTGCTCAGGACACATTATACCCCTGTCGTAAAGCTCTTAAATACCCCAGAAGTATATTGAGCCTCAAGAAGAAGGTAAAATACTTTTATTAAACAAAACAAACCCTTTTTTGTCAGTAGTGTACTGCTTCCTCAGACAGTGCTGCATGTATTGGACAGACCCTTGGGCAACACAGTCTAATGTGAGGTGTCCCTGCCCATGGCAGGGAGTTGGAACTGGATGATCTTAAGGCCTTTTCCAGCCCAAGCCATTCTATGATTCTGTGTATAGCATGTATTCCACAGTGTTTGGCACTATTATCCATCATGTCAACTGGTGTAATTGGTGATTTAATTGTTAATATTTGCTGATATTGGACCAGAAATAGCAGGAGGGGAAGAAAAAGAAGCCATTAAGGAAGTACTTTTACAGAACAGTCTTCAAAAGTGGATAGAAAAGGGTTTAGTTTAATTTTTCTTCCTTCAGCATGCCCTAGCATTTTATGCTCCCTGTGCCCCAACTATTAGAACAGTTTCTGAGCTCAGTCTGTCTTGTTGGGCTGTTTGGCCTATTTTGTTCAGCTGCTCTGTTCCCATGTCTCACACTTCACCTGTCTGTCTTGGTTTTCAGGTGACCTGAAGCACATAACTAAACTGAAGCCCTGGGGCCTTTTTGAAGTCTTGGTGGAAAAATACGAGTGGTCCCAAGATGAGGCAGCTGCATTCACAGACTTCTTATTACCTATGTTGGAGCTGATCCCAGAGAAACGAGCTACAGCAGCAGAGTGTCTCAGGCACCCCTGGCTTAACTCCTAGAAGCTTCAGCCCAATGCCACAGCACTACACTCTGGTTTACAGCATAGCCTACATGCACCCAGCTGCCCCTTCCCCAGATCTTCTTTTATCCTTTTTCATTTTCGGTGTGAAGCTCTTCCTTCAAGGCTTCCAAGATTTTAGATAAATCTAACCTGTTCTGCTGACTTTGCTTGTGTGATTCCATGGGGACTCTCCTCAGCCACTGGGCATCATCTGTGTTTTGCCTTGATTGGGCTCTGCCAAAGACTGATTGAGTACAATATGAAGTTTTTCCTGTGAGTCTCCTCACTGTTATGTCCCACGTGTTACAGCTCAGCTGTGCTCAGTTAAGCTCCCTTAGCTAAATTTCAACTCTCTTCCCAGGGGAGGGGTGTGAAGATGTGAACACCCCTTATCTCCCTGACTCAGGAGTCGATTTCCCACTGTTGATCCAGAAATGGGGTGAGAAATAACAGATGGCACCAAGGTGGTGTTAGTTCCTTGTAGAGCAAAGGTCTTAAAATCCTCCATAGTTGTCGAGGTGCCTGCTGCATTCTTTGCTTTCCACTCACATAATTTTAGTTCTAGTTGCTTAAACCTTTTAAAAAGAGCTATTTAAACCTAGGATTTAGCATCCTTTAGTTCTTCCTCCAAAGTGTCCTGCTCCTTTACTTTATCTTTCCCTGTGCCCATATAGAATAGTTTGTGAACTCGGTGACGTTTTCTACTGCAATGCCTGTGCCTCAAAGGTGACAAGCAAAAGCTGGAACTGACTCCACGCACAATCCTCAGCATACAGATGGGTGCACCCTTTGGGTGTAGAGAGGGAGCCTTGTTGCAGGCAACTCTTGAAGCATTTTAGTGAGCTGTAAAGGTTTTTTTGTTGTTGGTTGTTTTGTTGGGTTGTTTTTTAATCCCTTAGTGGCACTTTTTTGCCTTGCTTGAGGCAGCTGCTGTATCCATGAGGCTTTCACTGAGGCAGTTTACTCTGGCCTTTAATTTCTGACCATTGTCTTTTTTCCCAAGTGGCATCTGTATGACAGCCACATCATAGCTCTTGACTTTCCAACACTTGAAGGCCCAATGTAAAAACCTTTTTTTTTCTTTTGCTTGCTTCAGGTGCTGGCCTTCAGAAAAAACTTCCCAGGATGGGACTGCCTTTTATTTTCTGGGCCATTAGCACAAGGAGAGGTAGCAGAAGTGGACTTTCTCCATGTAGAACTGGATTAGAAGCTGTTTCTAGAGTTACCCCAAGCCCAAATGTTCTATGGGGTTTCTGTATAAGCTCAGAGGGGGTTGGATATAGTGAGGAAATGGGTTAATTTTAATTAAATCACTGTGGCATTTGATAGTTTTATGATGGCTTCCTTCTAGACTTGCTGATCCTATTACAGATTCAGTGCGTCCTACTCTAAAACAAGATTTGGCAGCATTGAGACTTCAGAAGCACTTCCTTACCCCTGGACCAAACAGGCCTTTGGATTTGTGGTGGCTTTCAGAGGCCAGAAGTCACAGCAGGAAAATGATGGAGGCCACGTAGATGCAATCCAAGAGGATTACACAGCCAAGGCTGCCCAGACCACTGTTAATGTGTGGCTTCTGTACGAGTGTTTGGGAATCTGTTTTGTAAGGATCATTGATCCATAAACCTTGGTGTCATTTAATCCACTTGAAAAGAGTTTCTCTGGTCCAGTGCCTGATTGGGCTTATAATGCAAATCATGCTGCATGTTCTTCTAGGGGTAGATCAGGTTCTCTATGCATATAATCTAAAATTAAAGGAAGTTCATATACCAAAAGAGTTTTAACCTGCTGGTTTGACTTTCTCACTTTCACCTGGAATTCTCCAGTTGTGTGTTCTTCCATACCTGTTACAGAAGGACTGCAGACAGGACTGGGTTCCAGAATACCTGCTCTCTGCATACTGTGAAGATACATTGACAGGGCAAACAATTTCTGTTGTCTGGAAAGCTCACCTGGTCCTGTGTGCTTGAGACTGGCCCATTAAAGATCTTTTTCTAGAAGGGATCTGCACCTTCAGCTCCAAGAGTTCCTTCCCTCTGCCACACCAGACTGGAGGAGGAAGGTTCTTCCCATGATGGCTAAGGCTAGAGCCAGCTTGTGAGTTGAAGACCTGCAGAAGCCACTGTCAGGATTCAGTCTTGTACCGTGCACTCATTTGCTTGGGGTTTGTTAAATCTCCAAACTGCCGTAAAGTGCTCACACTAAAGGATTTGTACTTGCTGTGTCAGTCTAAAACCTGAAGGAAAATACATTTTTATTCTTTCTATTTGGGTGCTTTGTCTTATTTTTTTCCTTGTGAAAGCCGTAACAATAAACAGATTATTTAATGACTGAGCCCTGTTCCTCCTACGCTCCCTCTGTAAGTGTCCTTGCTGAGACATGGCCCAGTGACTGCGTTTTCTTTGCTAGCAAGCTCTTAGTTTTGATTTGCAGAATGAGACACTGGGACAGGATTTTGTTGCTGGTATTATGACCCATTTTAAAAAGAGAAGAATAATCAACAGCAGAGCAGCTCTGCTGCAATTTTCCTAATCTCAAATACGCTTTTCTCCAAGTGTCTCATGTATCTGCTCTTCTTCCTCACAAAGAGTCTCAACACAAGCATCCCAGACTGGAAGGTGCTTGTCAGAACTGAAGGGAATTGACTGCTGCAGGAACTGAAAAATGAAAGCAGGTAGAAAAATCACAGTCCAGGCTGACATGGGTTCTCACTAGGCAAGAACAGGATGGGGTGATGTGCTGCTTTGTTCTCCATAGGCCACAGGCTGGTGCAGGTGCTGGATGTGAGAAATGTGGCTCAATCTGATTACTTGGGTACTGCTCTGTGTTGCCTCTGCCTGGCAGCATCCACAGCTCCGTGACACCCACCCACTGTTGGTGGGTGCTGGTACAGACCCGTGGCCCCACACACTGGGTTTTCCCCTCAAAAGTGCTCTCTTTGCAAGGTGCTGTGTGGTTATCGCTGCCCAGAGTAGGAAGCTGATCCAAAGCTTTTCTAGGAATTGGCTGGGTCTTTTTAACTACAACATGAAATCCCAAACACTCATGTTCTTTTTAATTTGGAATCCATTTCCTTGAAAGAAGGTGTACAAAGCCCAAGCAGCAACGAATCACCATCCCTCCCCTCTTGCCAGGTTTGCTGGTGGGCTCCAGAAGCTAAAACCTGAGTCCAGTTTGGGCTTTTCTGTCAAACCAGCTCCGGGGATGCTCTGAGCCAGGCAGGAAGAGCAATTGTAGAAAATCCACAGCAGTAAGTGTGAAGCTCTTGGAAAAGTCCCTTTAAAGAGAAGGGCTGATGGAAGTCGAGCTCTGGGTGCCCTGAGAACAGAGGGAAGGTCACTTGGCACCCAATGCCCAGTGACTTCAAACTGTAAGCTTGGGTTTTTTAGTCACTTGGCAAGGAATTGTGTTTTTCCTGAAGGCAAAGCAAAGGCTAATTCCCCTTTAACCACAACTAAACCCAGTCTGACTATAGCCCAAAATATAGAGTTGTCAATCCTTTAGTAATCAAAATACAACAGCAGTGTTACACATGCTGAGGAGAAACAGCAGAAATCACCCCGGGGGGATCACTTACATGGTGAGCAGCTCTGTTAGTGGTTTCCCTCTTCTGTAAAACAAAAAGAGAATGATGCTGTTAATGGGTTGTGGTATAAAACTGAAGGTGTGGGTGTGCTTTGCAAGGTTTGCTTTCAAAAAGGAATAAAACCAATTTAAAAGGGGATGGGGGTGAAGCCCCTCAGCTCAGTCTGGGTTCCTGCCTTGTGCTCCATTGATTTTCAGCCTGCTGCTGGCTCACTATAGTACTAGGACACAGCAGGATGCCCATGAGAGCAATCCCACTTCTCCCACTGAAGGAAGGCACTGTCCTTCCAAAGAGCTGCGGTCAGAACCCTCAGCAGCAGGACCGGTGCTCACAGCTGCCTTTACCTTTATTTTCCACTTTAAAATCGGACGGGAGGAGGTTGTCCTGTCGGTTCCCCAAGACAAAGCCCAGGAAGGAAAGGATGAGAGCATCAAGGATGCCAATGATGCAGAGGATGTAGGCCCAGCGGACAGTGCAGGCACCCAGCGTGTACTTGTCCGTCTTATCCCCACACATGCGCTTCACCTCGGTTGAGTCCCAGCCATCAGGGTAGATCAGGCAACCAATCATCAGCCCAGTAGCTGTGGGGAGAGGGAGATGTGACAGCACAGAGTCATGGAGTGGTTTGGGTTGGAAGGGACCTTAAACATCATCTACTGCCAGCCCAATTGACACAGGCCGGCACAGCAGCCACAAGCTGCCTGCTGAGCTGCTATGGGGAGAGGGCAGGTGGAAGATTTAGATCACATACTAGGAAGAAATACTTCCCTGTGAGGGTGCTGAGGCGCTGGCACAGGGTGCCCAGAGAAGCTGTGGCTGCCCCATCCCTGGCAGTGCTCAAGGCCAGGTTGGACACAGGGGCTTGGAGCAAGCTGCTCCAGTGGAAGGGGTCCCTGCCTGTGGCAGGGGTTGGAGCTGGAGGAGCTTTAAGGTCTCTTCAAACCCAACCTATTCTATGATTCTAAGAGCATGACCATGACCATGATGCTATGGACAGATAAGATACTACATGCCACCAACAAGGCTTAAAGTGCTCTGTGGTTGCTGGTCACACATGGCTCTGCTCTGCTGCCACTTCTGCAGGCAGGGAGGAGCAGGACACAGCACACTGCATTCCAAGGAGCTCCCTATCAAGGACACACTGCTGCAGCATCTCCCATTGTTGCGTTGCCCAGGCAACACCTCTCCTGCCTCCTCACGCATCCCAGGCCCTGTGCCTCTGAAGAAACACTTCCTCCAAGCAACACCGGATGGGTTTAGTCTGTGCAAGGTGGAGAACCTGCTGTTGCTCCATGCCTGCCCAGATTCTGGCTTACGTTTTGCTAAGGCAGAGCTGCCGGCAGCAGCTCTGCAGATTAATTCTGCTTGTTCAGCTGTGGTGGTTCCAGCCCAGCCATGAGCCACCACCCCTCCCGTGGCTGCTCCCAACACCCAACCCCAGCACACAGAGCCCAAGGGCCTGGCCGATGTCCCTCTGCTTTGCCACAGGAGTGGCAACAAACTCGGTGCCAAAGGGCCTTCTTCTGCCAAAACTGTCCCCAGATCTCAAACGTGCCTTTTTCTTTTTTCCCACACACATTCAGAGAAACTGTATTTGCTTGACAAGAATGACCAGGCTCAGGAGGGAGGAGCTGAGCTCATCCATGAGGCTCTGGGATGGGATTCAGTTGGACTTGATGATATCTCTCCCAACCCAAACCATGGTTCTACGAAGCAGATGTTTGTCTCTGCTCTTCTTGGCCATCTGCAGCCTCCTGCAGCAGCAAGATGCTCCCTGCCATGGCCTCGTGCCTCTTCTCTCTCAGGGGACGGTTGCCTCACACTCTGCTGATGGTTTTTCCCTTGGCTTGGGGACAGAAGAGTGGCAAGGCCAGCAAGCAGCATCCCGGACCGCAGGGAGCATTTCTCTTCATTGAGAAGCTGCTGGTTTTTCCTGTATTTGATTACTGTAGCTAGCAGGGAGCAGCGGCACAGAGAAATGGGGTAAGCTGCCCAGAGACCACCTCTCTGGGGAAGAAGCACCCTGGAGCACAGCAAAGGCCACAGAATAGATCCTCTTGTCACCTTCATAAAATAACCCTCAGAAACGCTGCAGCACCAGCCCCGAGATGGCCCCAAAGCTCCCAAGAGCCTGTTTGGGGCAGAGAAACCGCCTGAGGGATGATTCAGGCTTATCTATGCGTCCTGAGCACCTGCACCAGGTTTGTCTCCAGCACAAAAACATATGTCAAAGCCCCAAATAGAACAGCAAAGCCCTTCCCTGCCAGCGCGCCCCAGGAGGCTGAGCTGCCCCAAGCCTCTGATCGAAATCTTGGCTTGAGCTCCCTTCTTCAGCCAGGATCTGGAGCAGCCCCGGTGCTGTGGGGTGTCCCTGCCATGGGACGATAGACTGAATCCATGAATGAATGATTCAGGAGTGGCTGGGTTGGGTTTCAGCCCAGGCTTCAACGCAGGAGCTGGGTTACCAGTGTCTCGGGTGTCTTCTTGTGCCAGGGGAGAAATGGAGAAGGCTGGAGATGCACGGGGATGAGGGGAAGAGCAGAAAGACAGGAAAGTGTGGGTGATGGTGCTGAGTGTTACAGTCAGTGCCCTCCTCCTGTTCCACTTCCCCAGTACATCACCCCCTGAGCTCGGGAGTTACCACCATAACCCAGCAAACACAGGCACTGTCTCCCTGCGTAATTCCCGCAGGATCTGGCACACAGGAGGCCCTGCGGTGCTCAGTGCTCTTGGACTGACGATGCTCTGAAGCCTCAACCCTGCTGCTGCCTGGATTTGCAGCACGGAGCATGGAGCATCAGGAGGCTGCTGGGTCTCAGCTGCCCCGACAGGCTTTGCCTGCTGCAAAGTCTCCACTGGTAACCAGTAACTGGGAGCAAATGGGGCTTGAAGGTTGCACTGGGGACCCCTTCCTGGCCAGGCTCTCCCCCAGCAGAGGCTATGAGGGAAAAGCAGCTCTGGATGGAGCATCAGCAGCCCCCTGCCCCCGAGCATCACCCCGAGCCCCCTCACCTGCTGCCAGCTGCATCCAGGCACAGACCTTATAGACAGTGGCTGCGTTACAGAAGAAGAAGAGGCTGAAGCAGAGGATGGAGCCGATGATGAGGAAAGTGGAGATGCCTACGAAGAACATGGCTGTTTTGAAGGCGCTGGAGGGGATGGTGCCGAAGTCGAGGGGGCCGCCCTTGCAGATGAGCTCCCCGGTGAGCGCGTTGCCGATGCAGTAGGAGAAGAGGCCGAAGTAACCGGCCTGCGGGGTGTCGATGCTGTCCCCGATCCAGTAGGGCTGGATGAAGGTCACGACCATCAGGATGGAGAAGCAGAGGGTGAAGAGGGCCCAGAGCAGCCCCATGGCCCGCGCGTTCCTCACGTAGTTGGTGTGGTAGATCCGCGCCGCCTCCTGCGCCGGCAGCAGCTCGGGCATGGCGGGGGCTCGGGCTCACGCACACACAGACACACACACACACGCACACACACACACACAGAGAGAGAGCGACACCGGCACCGGCACCGGGCACCCGCCGCTGCCCCGCCCCGCCCCGCCGGGAGGCTCCGGAGGCTCCGGCGCGACCCCCCCTGCGGCACCGGCAAAGAGCAGGGGAGGAGCCGGGAGGAGCCGGCGCGACCCCGGTGCGGAGCTGGGGGGAGCGGAGGAGCCGCGGGATGCGGCGGGGGACGAGGCCTGCGCCGCCGGGATGCGCTCTGCGACCCCACGGGGAGCGCCGGGATGGGCCCTGCGGCCCCAGCGCTCCCCCTGTGTCCCCGGGGTGCGCCCCGGATGGGCCCTTGGGATGGGCCCCGTGTCCTCAGGATGCACCCGAGGATCTGCCTCTGGGATGGGCCCTGTGCCCCAGGCACACTGCCTCTGGGATGGGTCCCGAAGCCGGGCTCTGTATCCCTGGGATGCTCCCTTGGGATGCGCCCTGTGCCTCCACTGTGGGATGCGCCTTGGGATGTGCCCAGTGCCTGTGGGCTGAGCCCTGTGTCCCCAGTACGCACACCAGGACCTGCCCTGGGCTCTGTTCAGGATGCACTATGTGTGCTCTGGGGTGCACCCTGTCCATCACTGTGCCTCCCATAACATGCTGTGTTTGCTGGGTTGTGCCATGCTCCCCCAGGATGTGTGTCAGGATGGGCCCGGGCTGCACCATGCAACCCTGGCCAATGCTGGGATGCTCCCCAGGAGGTGTGTTCCCTTAAATGTGTGCCTCAGGATGTGCCAGGGGACATGCTGGAACCCCCAGGGTGTGCTGTGTGCCCCGGGATGTCCTCTGGGTGCTGTGCCCCTGTGGCTGCTCCCCTCTGCCCTGCCTGCTGGTGACACCAGGGTCTTCCTCCACTGGGTGCTGCATCACTGGGATGGGGGGCTGGATCACCTGTCAGCTCCAGGGCTGGCCGTAGCTGCAGGCAGGGAGGGGACTGTCCCCAGAGCCCCCTGTGAAAAGGGAAACAGTTCATGGGGCTGCCAGGACACCCCAGAGCAGCACGGGCAGCCCCAGTGGGCTGTGGGTGCTTGCAGGGAACCTCTCTGCAGAATCACAGAACCACTGAACCAGGGAATGGTTTGTGCTGGGAGGGACCTTAGAGCTCCTCCAGCTCCAACCCCTGCCACGGGCAGGGACCCCTTCCACTGGAGCAGCTTGCTCCAAGCCCCTGTGTCCAACCTGGCCTTGAGCACTGCCAGGGATGGGGCAGCCACAGCTTCTCTGGGCACCCTGTGCCAGCGCCTCAGCACCCTCACAGGGAAGAGCTTCTGCCTAAGAGCTCAGCTCAGTCTCCCCTCGGGCAGGTTCAAGCCATTCCCCTTGGCCTGTTGCTGCAGTCCCTGATGAAGTGTCCATCTCCAGCATCCTTGCAGGCCCCCTTCAGATACTGGAGAAGCCACATCTGCCCCACATCCCAAGGGACCAGAGAGGCATGTGCCAGCGCCAGCCTCAACATCACCCCTGCGGCCACTGAAGGCCATGGGCATAAGCATTGCCAGGCAGGAAAAGCTGTGCTGTTCCCAGGGCTGTTTTCCTTTCATCAGCCGCAAAATAAGCAGCAATATCTGGCAGGACACGGGCCCCCATGGGCTGGGGACCTCGGTGGGCTCCGGAGCACCCAGTGAGGCCACACCATCAGGGGCTGGACTGGCTCCTGCCACGCTTTGGGCTTTCTTGAGTGGATTTCTTGGCGTCTGTGCTGGTAACGTTTGAGGGGTGGAGGATGTGATGGAGCTGCTGCCATAGCGCCAGCTCTCCCTGTGAGCCCCTCATCAGCACCCAGCACGGAGGGCACCTTAGAGAGGAGGGAGGAGTGGAAATTCCCACTGGGAAATGCAGGAATGCCATCACTACTTTGCCAAAGGAGGTGCCAAGGGGGACGTGGGCATCGTGGGACTGTGACGTGGGGACAGCGTTGGCAGCGCTGCCCTCGCTGCCCCGATGCCACGAGCTGGGGTGTGATAGGAGCAGCCACATCAGCTGACGGAGCCGCCGGCTATAAAGCACCCGCCTGCCCCGTGGCAAAGCCACAAGCGAGCCCACCATGGCCAACATCCTGTACCCCTGCGTGCTCCTGGCCATGCTGCTCCTGGCCGAGGCCGTGCCCATGGAGCAGGAGCGAGGGCTCGTCTTCAACTTGGTAAGAAGGACGCTGACCCCCACCCTTGGGACACCCCGAGTCCTGCAGTGGGGCACGTCGGGGGGTTGGAGGGGTACATGAGAGCAAAACGTGCTGTGAGTGGGGACACTGAGGCAGACGGGGATGGGCTGGTGAGCTTCAGGGTTGTGAGGGTCTTGGAGCCTGGGAAAGCAGCTGTGTAAAAGGCTATGGAAGCCTGCAAGTGCATGGGACGGCAGCTCCCGTTCCCACAAGGGATGGGGAGGGGGAGCACTGCCCCAGCCCTGTTCCCATGAACCCCGCAGAGGGAAGGAAGCGCTGCGGGGGGGGGCTCGGGGGTGCTGCTGAGGCAGAGCTGGCGCCTGGCACCCCCGAGCCCCCAGGGGGGTTAGGAGGGAGCAGCGGGACCCGGCCCCGGCCTCACCCCGCGCCCCGCGGTGCAGGATGCGGGCGAGCTGTGTCTGCAGAGCGCCCAGTGCAAGAGCCACTGCTGCCACCGCGACAGCGGCCTCAGCCTGGCCCGCTGCGCCCCGAAGGCGGCCGAGCTGCAGGGCTGCTCCAGGAAGGTAGGTGCTGCCCTGCTCCCCGGGGCACAGCGGGAACGGGGCCGGGTCCCCCCCGCTGCACCCAGCCCTGCTCTCCGCAGAGCCTCTATGGGGTGTACTACAAGTGTCCCTGTGAGAGCGGCCTCACCTGTAACGCCGATATGTCCATCGTGGGTGCCATCACCAACAGCGACTTCGGCATCTGCCAAGACCCTGCGGACGTCCAGGAGTCGCAATGAAGGAGAAGACCCCCCAATACCCCCCCCCCCCGCTTTTCCCCTCCCCAGGGATGCCAGTACCTGCCTGCACCGCCCTGAGGAGTCCGTTCAAGTAAAGAGCATCTTCTGCTGAGCTGCAAGCTGCCTTTTCACTCCATCCATCCCTCCAGCACGGGCAGGGGACAGCAGGGACAGGGGGGCCCAGAAAAAGCCACAGGGCTGTGATGGCTTTACCCATATGTGTGCACATCGTATGTAACTGTACAGTAACCTGGGCCAGGCCCGCAGCGAGCCATGGGGTGAGCTCTGCTCAGGGGGTGCGTTGGCAAACGGGGTGCAGGGGAAGCTGAAGCAGTGCTGGGATCTGGGGAAGCCTTTGGGTTGTGCCAGACTCGGTTTATTGGCTCCTTTCTGGTTGGAAAAGTCCCCTAGAAAAGGTTTGTCACTGGAGAAGGAATTGGAGGTGGTGTGGAAGGAAGCTGAGGGTGCTCAATGCGTTGGTGGTCATGTCCACCTCTGCATGGGGCTGGCTCAGGGACTGCAGTGATGGGACAAGGGGTGATGGGTTCAGACTGAAACAGGGCAAGATCAGATGGGATCTAAAGCAGAAGCTCTTCCCTGTGAGGGTGCTGAGGCGCTGGCACAGGGTGCCCAGAGAAGCTGTGGCTGCCCCATCCCTGGCAGTGCTCAAGGCCAGGTTGGACACAGGGGCTTGGAGCAAGCTGCTCCAGTGGAAGGGGTCCCTGTCCGTGGCAGGGGTTGGAGCTGGAGGAGCTTTAAGGTCCCTTCCAACATGAACCATTCCATGATTCCATAACTCCATGATTCTATAGAATCTATATAGACCCTGCACTCTGGGAGCCCCCCTCCTCCTCCTCCTTGGGGTCTGCAGACGAGGCCATGAGGACGCTGGGTGTGAGTCCTCCTTGGGAAGTGCTGCACAATGGCCCTGGTTGTACGTGCCACGCAGAGGGGTGGAACTGGATGATCTTAAGATCCTGTCCAACCCAAACCATTCCACGAGTCTGTGATCCCCCTCGTGCAGCACCTCCACCAGCAGCTAACCCGGCTGCGGGATGTGCAGGAGCTCTGGGAACCCAGGCTGGAGCTGGGGCAAGGCGATGAGGGGAGCAGCCTGGCGAACCCCCTTAACCCTGCCCTGGGCAGGGTGGCTGCAGGGGGTGATGCCCAGCTCGGAGCTGTTGGTTTGGGCATGGGAAGGGGATGCAGACCTGCTGTGGGGGGTGAGGAAAAGGCACCCACCTGGAAGAACTGGGGGGCAGGAGAAGGCGAGGGGGTCATTGCAGGGTGATTCTCTGGTGGCATCTTACCTGTTTCTATCCCTGGAGACAGAAGGAGCAGCAGGCACCCAGAGCCCCCAGAGGTGGCTCTGCACTGGGGCAGGGTGGGGACGACACAGAGGCCACTTCCTGAGGATGCCCTGCAGGAAACATTCTTTCCAGGATAAGGGGATCTGCCCCTGCAGAAGCCCCAGGGGATGCGGGTGGGAGGGTGCCACAGACAGGGGGGTCCCTGTTGTGGTGCTGGGGACATGGGCATCAGCTTGGGGACAGGGCGAGGGATGCTCCAAGGCCCTTCAAGCCCGGCTCAGCAGAGGTGTGAGAGGGGAAATGCTGACCTGGAGTTTAGTTCTAAACCCGGGGTGGGTGGCGAGAGCCTTGAAAGGTTTTGGCATTGTGACTGGGGGGGTCCTGGGCAGATCACCGGGTCCATGTGCTCAGGAGCGAGGCCTGGAGGAGGCTGAAGATGGGGAAAGGGACAGGGACAGCAGCGCCTCTCCTGTGGGCAGAGCGAGGGGGCACAGGGCCTTGGGGAGACCCCCCCAGCCTCACCATCTGCAGGGGGTCCTCAGCCGTTCCCCACTCTGGAGAGGCTGGTGTCACCCAGGAACACATCCTGAGGCTACTGGGAGCTCTGCCGGAATAGGACCAGATGTGTCTGGGGCTTTGCATCCCAGGCCTGGGGAGGATACGGGCAGGCCTGGGCAGAGGACAGCACAGGACAGCACAGGACGGCACAGGGCAGCACAGGACAGCACAGGACC